CAAGCCGAAGCTCAGTCTTTTTGGACAGGCATCGGTCCGCACGACCTCCCAGAGCCTTGGACAGAGTCATGGAGGGCTAAGCACCCCCAACATACAGTGGATACGGAAAATCCTGAATAACCCAAAGTACCTTATACCTTGGGAATCATGGTAGTACTGTATACAGACGTCATGCAGGACTCGAGTATCAACCGAAGTACCATTACAAGGAGAGGGAAATGTATCATTTGGGGTTGAGTAGCTCATTATCAGGGGTAGGGGGCTAACACGGAAACTGAAAGCGGCCAGCTGTAGCTGCCCGGGCAATTGGGACTACAGGAGCCATCGTCTAGACTCCTTCAAGGGGGTATGGGGATTACATATGGGAGTGTCATAGGGGTTATTAAGGCTTCAAGGGGTATACTGGGAGTTTAGACTATGGCTCACAGGGAAAGTTTGAATATCCGCATAGGGCTCATAACTTTGAACCCCCTCATATTAATATTGAGTTCCTGAACCCTATAACTACCCTAAACCCTGAACCCTACACCCTGAACCCCGGGCGACACTCAACTTTACGTTCTCCGAGTGGAAACTGGAAATCCTCAGCTCCAGGGTTACTGTAGAGGCCTTAATACTTTCCTATATTAAGTTGATGTTTACTTGGCGCGTTATACCACGATGATACAAGCAATCTAGGACATAAACCCTAAAACCCTAGACCCGTAGTACTGTTAACTGCAACTGCTGAAGCTCAGCAGAGATCTTCTCTGACTTTACGCGTGGGGTTTAGGGATCTTCCAAAGGAGGAGTGGCGCATAAAGCAGGATGTGCAGTGTCAAGGAGCAGCACTTGCTCGCAAGGTCTTGTGAAGACACATTACTTGCAAACAGATATGGGGGTTTCCCCAAATTAGGGGTACCTTTTTTGGGGTCCCCATAATAAGGACTATAGTATATTGGGGTCTGTATTGGGGTCCCCTTATTTTAGGAAGCAACCATATCAGGCATGGACTCCCGTTTTCCCGGCAAATGCCATTTGTCGGGGCATTCCTTCATACCAGAGGGACCGGACGCTGGCATGCTTGTGGTTCCCTGTCCCGGCTTGGAAGTAGCTTCAGAACTTGATGAAGACGTGGCAGTACACTAAGCCCTCTACCTGGCCTCTAAACTCTATGCCCTGATGAATGCACTACAGGGGCAGGCCTCGAGATGCTGGGGGGGGGGGGGTTTAGGCTTTAGGGTTTTGTATTGGAAGCAGGAACTTGTCCGCTTTTGAGGACACAAAGTGCTGCAGAAGGGCATCTACAGCTTGCAAGCACAACGTCTTGCTACCGTTCAGGTGTACTACCGCTAAGGTTTAGGGTTTAAAGTTTAGGATTTATATTGTTTGGGGTTTAGGGTTTAGGGTTCTAGGGTTGGATGGAACAACGGTATTGGATACAAGCCCTTGAAGATGCCCCGCGCGACAACTTGAACGCCTCAGCGGCTGTGAACTCATTCCGAAGCGGCGCATCAAGAATTTCGCGCTGGCTTACGGTTTCATGTTTGAGGTTAGTGGGGACTTAGTGTTTACATGGTTTTAGGGTCCCTGCTGGGTTTGGAGCCTAGGGATTCTCACGTAAATCTTAAGCCGGGACGCCGCCAAATTCCAAACAGCTAGCCGGCACAAAGGGCCAAGGAGGCCCAAAACCTCAAATGCCAGAACCCAAAGCGTAAACTTCAACCCTTAAACCCTAAACCCTACACCTCATACCCAAAGCCTAAAACTTCAACCCTTGAACCCTGCACCCCTAAATCCTAAAGCCTATAAACCCTAAACCCTGTAAACTCCCTAAACCCTAAACCTTAGACCCACTGCAAGCACTGTTGTGTACTCCTGAGGCTCACTGTGCCTGATGACAGCAAGCTCAAGAAAAAGAAGAAGGCCATCCCCAAAGTTTCCAGGAGAAAATCCTACACCTTGAACTGAGGCGGTCTAAGGTTTAGGGTATATTAGGGTATAGGGTTTAGGCTTTAGGGTATAGGGTTTAGGGTATAGGGTATAGGGTTTAGGGCTTCATTCTTGAAAAGCTTGGCAGGGATAGCTAGCGTGGCGGTTTAGGTTGTAGGGTTTAGGGTTCGGTCCCATGTTTGTGTACCGAAGTATGTGGTGATGTTATGCAGTTTGAGCTTCTCAAAATCAATTTCATGTCCAAGAGGCACCCCACAAGTCCCTTTTTGTAGGTTCCTGTATGAGGGACCCCTTTTTCAAGAAACTCTAACCCCATCCCTAAACCCGCAACCCTTGACCCCGATCTCTGAACCGCACAGAGGCACGAAAACTTTGAGCAGCCCCCAACAAGTTTTAATGACGAGTATTTAGATTTTAGAGGGATATGCCATAGCCTCTAATTTGGTTATGGTGTGTCAGAACAAGAATACAATATTACTTAGTTCAACCTCCTTACAAACACCTTACTGAAATAATCATACAGATGATGACCTGGCGGTTTTAGCTTGGTCTTGAATTGTTCGGGCTACCAGCCTAAACCCCAAACCCTAAACCCTAATTCCAGCTGTGTCATGCAGTTGGAAAAAAGTCCGCGAAAAAAAAAGCCTAAACCCCAAACCCCAAGCCCTAAACCTCAAACTCTAAACCCGAAACCCTTGACTACAAAGGTTCCTGTCCCTTTAGAGTGCTAAATGGGCTTAGGGGTACCCTTTCGGGGTCCCTATAACAAGGACTATAGTATATTGGGGTCTATATTGGGTCCCCTTGTTTTAGGAAACTGCCAGATGGGTAGTTGTCAAAATTATGGTCCTTTTTTGGATCCCTATGATAATACGGCACCTAATATTGACATATTGAGGGTACCCAAAAAAGGGACCATGATTTTGACAACCACCCACGTGTAGGATGGGGGATACCCTATCCTAAGCCCTACAATATGTGGAAAAACCCACGCTCTCAAGACCAGATGAAGCTCGTGGATGTTGGGCTGGTGGCTTTGGGCTTGATTAGGAGCTGTCATGCAGATGCAAGCAAGTATTGAAAAAATATCCCAAACCTTTACAGCAACCGTGTGCCTTGAGAATGATTGGCCTGATGCACTGGGTGCTTCCGAGATTGTTTTCATGTCTTCAGAGACTTTGTCGCTGGCTTCGTTTTTGTAGTTGCTATCGGCTTCAAGTCAAGGTACCCCCAAAACCCTGCACTGAGTGCTGCGTCTATACCAGCATTTGGGGAGGTTTCAGGTAGGGGCTTCGTATGTGGCATATGTTTACCTCAAGGCAGTTACTTGTCAACTCCACTGGGACCTTGGTCATCTCCAGATCCTCGAGCTGTTCTCAAGGCGAGAGCGCAGGTGAAGCCAAGTTCACATGCGAGAGTTTTGTCATGTTATGATCCCCAGATTTTATCCCCTTCCTAAGCCCTAAACCCTGAGCCCAAAACCCTGAAACCGCGTGATTCCTAGCAAGCCTGCTCTAAGAAACTCTGCCGAACTTTGTCGTCGCATCTCGCCTAAAGCCTAGAGGCTCCTACCATAGTCTGAAAACACCAGGCTGCTGTTAAGGATTTGCAATAGGTTACCATATTGCGGGTAGATAGTGCATAATGTGGTTTCCTTTTTTTTGCTCACTAAAACTATAAGTTCCTTAACAGCAGCCCAGAAAGCTCACCAAACTAAACTCAGTTTTTGCATACCCTAAACCCTAAACCTTTCTAAACAGCCAGATAAGTGTTTGCTCAGCGTTCACATTTTCTGCCCTATGTGAGCTATAGTCTAAACTCCTCAAAGGGGGCTTATATAGGGTTTAGGGTTTCGGGTTAAGGGGACTTTAGACGGGAGCATTATAGGGGTAGTTAAGGGGGATACAAGGAGTTTAGACTACAGCTCTCGTGAGCAGTAGTTTTCAAAGTCCACGCTGGGCCATGGATTGCCTGTTTGTTGTAAACGTCATGAAACGGTCTGGTCCCCTCCCTGCACTATGAAAACACCGTACTACGGGAGCGGGGTGTGTTTCCTTCTCGCCCTTAACCATAAAACCTCAGCCTGAACCTACAATCCCGAACCCTAAACTTTGAGCACAAAATGCTCCTGAGCTGAGCCAGTTGGTGGTTGTGAAGCCTTCGGTTCGATTGGGACTGGAGCCCGCGATCACATCTCAGGCTCTTTCTCCAGGGGTCCAGTATACTTTATAGTAGTAGTCATTACTTCGGCTTTTGGGAGCCCATGATAAATCGACGAATTTTCCATAAATACGGGGCTCACTTCTAAACCCTATAGGAATCCAGTTTCCATTAGATTTCCCGTTGTCTCTTCCATTTGGTTCTCCGTTGTCCTGTCCTATCATGCATGTTGGACCCTCGGGGTTCGGGGCACGGAAGAGGATGTCGAGGTTCGGGGGTCAAGAATCTAGGGTTTAGGGCTTCGGGTTTGGGGTTTAGGGCTTAGAGTTTAGGGCTTAGGGTTTAGGGTTTAGTTTCGGGCTTGGGCATAATTCCCCAGAGTTGGAGTTTGTTATGGTTTTGGTATAGGATCATAATATGGGTGATTCTCAAAACTGTGTGCCTTTTTGGTGATAGATTACAATACGCCACCTAACATTTAGGGGTACCAAAATGGGACCTAATTTCGGGAGCTACCCATATACCTCCCAAAAAGACGCTACTTAGCAGGCCCTGGTGCCTCAAGCAGGCAGCTGTACTTGGAGGGTCAGGGGGTTAGTAAGTAGGTTCATAATGAGGATAATTTTGGGTTACTATATGAATTATATGGCTTAAAAACCTACTTACTAAATCCCCCTGACCCTCCAAGTATGGTAGACACCTCTGGAACGAAGGCTTTGCTGGTATGCTGTTCAGGGTTTAAGGTTTAGGGTATGCTCTTTTGTTATTGAAGCTCTTTGGCTCATAGTTGCTACTAAGCTGGGTTGTTAAGGAACGTAACTTAAGCTAACATAATACGGAATCCGCATTATTTACTACATACTCAGAATACGGTAGCTTAGATTGAGCTCCTTAACAGCAATCCGGTATAGATGACACTGGTGCACCTTAAACCCTAAATCCTAAACATTGTAAGATGCCATCCAGGCTGCACACGCAGACTTGAAGGTCAAAGCCTTCATCCCCTAACCCTAAACAGCGGTAGGTTCGATTTTGTTGTAAGCCGTTGTTACCCTTAACTTCCTATATAATCCTATAAAGCCATAGACATTCAACTTGTTAGGGCCCCCAGTCGTGCCCTCGTAAACCAACAGTCCTGAGGCCCTGAACTCATTGCATCACGCTCCAGCAAACCTACAGAAGCTATAGTCTAAACTCCTCGAAGGGGGTTATATAGGGGATTATGTAGGGGAGTATAAAAGGGGTTACGAAGGGGGATACTGGGAGTTTAGATCCTAAACCCTATATTATCGGGATTATTATATAAGGGGGATACTAGGCGTTTGGACCATAGCTGACATTGTCTCAGGGTGGCTGCAGTTGAGTGACTTGAGACATTCTTGCTGCCTAAAAGTCCGCACGAAGCCCAGTACCACTGCTGAAGTACCACTGCTGATGCTGCTACTGCTACAGCTACCGCTACTGCTGCTGCTACTGCTGCTGCTGCTGCTGCTGCTTCTGCTACACTGCTGCTGGACTGTGGCTGCTACTGTGACAACCGGTCTAGAAGCAGAAGCAGTAGTAGAAGTAGCAGCAGTGGTCGTCGCCATAAAAATAGCCCAGCGAGAAGGGGGGTGGGGGTGGGGGTTGGGGGTTGTTTGTGGTGGTGGTGGTGCTGCTGCTGCTCCTGCTGCTGCTGCCGCCTTGAGTGTGCTTACAACACTGCTACTGTTTACCATCAAAGGCGTAATGCCCGTTGGAGCTGTAAGTGGGCTATTGGTAGCACAGCTTCCACCTACTGTGATGATCTGTGGTTCTAGCGCTCACAGAAGGGCCGGTGCAACAGCACCACCATCAGGTTGTGCACAAGCTGGTTGATCAACCGGCCGGCTGTGATGGAGTGGAGTAGAATACCAGTAGCAAAAGTGGTGGTAGTAGTGGCAGCAGCGATTTCGACGAGTATGATGAGAGATTGAGATATACATTATATCCAGCAACCGTCAGGATGTGTGTTCCAAAAGTCTTTGAGATGCTTGTAGGGGGGGATGCAACACATCGTATTCAAGAGCTGCGCAGTAGTGTCATGCAGGGTTTCATTAAACTTGAGATGCATGAGTATTAGGAATGCAAACAACTTCATTTATCGTGGCAGCTAAATTCTAGATAATACGAAATCTAGTCTAAATCCTGAGAAGTTCCGCGTCGCTATCATCTGCTCAGAAGGGCAGAAGCTACATTGGTGCTGTTCTTTGGTATAATTTGTTCCGAAGCTGGGGCATGTGTGGCCCTGGCTTTGCGCCTGGAGGCTGTGACGCAGGGCGCTGTGTGCAATGCTACGGTTCCCGGGGGCTGGTGCGGAGACAGGACGGCAGCTCAAACTTGAAAGTTGAGGGGTAGGGTCTCGTCTGCTTGTTCTATGTGCAGGTCGAGGATTTACTTCACCGGCCAGTCCATGGGCGGCATGTCTGCCTTGCAGTTTGCAACGCCGGACCCATCCTCGAGGCTGCTTGGATTTGAAATGTGTCCTTTTGGTACGTGTGTCCAGCTGTGGAGAACGAGGCCAAAAGCTTGGTGGATTGTCGCAGGTACTTTCTGGGCAGCCTGGGGCCAGCGGCTATTGCAGCTTGTAGCCCGGGCGGCTCTCGCAACAACGACCTGGAGCTGCAAGGCCAAGTGCCCACGCTTCTCATTCAAGGCGGGAAGCCCTTCTCCGAAGCATAGCGAACCAAGAGCCAAATCAGCCCAAAATCCCCCCTGAAGGGAGTCAAGATCTGGTTGCTGTGCCAGTACCTTGGGCTGGGCACGACCGGAATCTGGTGCGAATTGCCAACATGAAGGTGTTTCAAGCAATGGTGACCAATGACACCCTGGTGCAGCTTGCGCGTCAATCTCTACCTGGAGACTTCCAGAATCTCTCGCCAGATGATCTCCTGATTCTGGCGGATGTCCGCCAGGGTGGCGCGTTGCTTGCCGAGTACCTTCCTGATTTGGCAGACATTGCAGGCCTAAACCCTAAACCATATTATTACTATTACTATTATTACTATTACTATTATTATTTTTTATTATTATGATTATTATTTATTACTATTTCTTTTATTACTATTACTATTATTAATATTTTTATTACCATTATTATTATTTTGCAGGCTTTCCAGATCGGAAGGGGCGCATGACCGGAATCAGTGCAGGCTCCCCAAGAAACTTTGCTCACCATCATAGTATATTGGGGTTTAGGGTTTTGGGGTTTTAGGGTTTTAGGGATAATGGAAAATGAAATGGAAGCTACTATAAGGGGTTATTATAGGGGATAATGGAAAAGAAAATGGAAGCTACTATAGTATACTGGGGTTATATAGTAAATAGGATAGGCTTTGCGGCCGCGTGCCACCGCAACCACCTTTGTCTCGCCCGCGGCCTCCTAGCACGACTGAGGCATTGTAGTATGGGCTTTGCACAGTGCATCGACGGACTTTGTATTTCATGTTGCCGCTAGGTGCTTACATGTGGGAGCCCTTGCAGACTACCCTGCAGCGCGTGGTACAAACGGATGTGCAGACGCTGTGCTGCATTTGAGTTGGTAGGTGTTTTCCACTGCAGTCATTTGCAGGCCTATGTCAATGAATCTAAAGGAAAAGTCTTTGACGAGAGTGTCTTTCATGGATTCCCCGCTTCTTTCCCTGGGCGCAAAATCCCTTGGCCCCCCCCATACTCATTGAAATACCTGCCGCCGCATTACTAACCCCTGGCCCCTCGTGTTGCAATGCTTTATGCAGTGTGACATTGAAGATTTGAGCACTCAGTTCACAATATCTACCTTGGATATATGTAACATTGCCGGGAGCGGGTTGTTGCCATTGTCCTTGTGGCGCCTGAGATTTTCTCAGGATGTCGCAGCTGCGCTACTGGAACCCTCCAGACCCGTCGGGCCAAGCAGCAAGTATCCAGCTCCAGTGCGCAGACGCTACAGCACATGTACGCGTCTGTGTTTTTCAGGGAGGCTGGAGCAGCAGTTTTGGGGATTTTCGGTCGGAGATATCAATGATCAGCTGCTGCCACAGCCGCCACCACAGCCCCCCGCCATATGCAACTACAGCAACGACTGAAATGAGCTTGCAACCGTGTAAAAGCTTGAGTGGCTTGAGCGGGCTTTTCGCAACAAGTGGGTGTAGCAGGAATGACCAGATTGCAGCAGCGCCTTCTTTGTGGCCATGTAGGTGTGCTCGGCATGCTCGTCTAGTGCAGGGTAAAGTGGGCCACCACGGGGGTACGTAACGGTGAGTGGGTGCGGGGACCGCAACAAACTCTGGTTGGGGCAATTTCGAGTGCTTCTTTAGCTATGATCTTGACAGTTTTCCCCTGAGTCCCAACTCCAAGCAAGAACATCAATGTGATTGATGGGATCTCCTCCAAACTTGTTTGATGACCACCATCGTTCTGTCAGGCCATACATATCCATTCCTGACTCCGGACGGCTTCGAGCACAACGCAAGCAAAGCAAAGGCCTTCCATGATCTTCTTTGGGTGGACTGGTTCAGGAACGGAACGTTGCAACGGCCTGGTGCCCTACAATCTCCTATAGATTTGCCTGACGCTGGAGCGCTCTGGCGCACAGGCTTGACTATGCTTGGTGGAAATCTCTTAATATAAAACCTGGTAAGAGCTAGTTGCGAGAAACTACAAGGCAGCTCTTCACCAGGATGCGATTGTTCGCAGTGTGCGCAAAGTCGTCTCAATAGGCTGCGATTGTGGCCGGCTGGATCAAAGATAATCTGGCCAGCCGTAGACAAAGTGTAAGCAATTTTGAGATGCCGCTCGATGTGTTGATGGCAGAGTCATTGAGCCATCCACTGCAACTCGAGTTTATGCAAGGGCTAGGCAGAGGGCTTTCGTGCGTTTGGCCCAGCAAAGACGGAGCAATGTACAGCTGCTCTTCTTGCTGCAGACTACGGTCCTCCAGGCCCAAAAGTGTTGTTGTTGCTGCTGCTGCTGTGGTTGTTGTTACAGCTCTACGAAACATCACAAACAAATCCATTCACCAGTTCAGAAAAAGCAGCGGGGCATGTGGCGGTCAATGTAAGGATACTCCTGAGCGAGATTATGTCGTTCGTTCTTGTCCGGGCTGCAAATGGCATGTGATTCTTGTGCCATCTTGTGCCAAGTTTCGGAAAAGGTATATTGATTGACAGGCATTTGTTTCTAGGTGCGGTCGTGACACGTACCTTATGCTGAACTTTTAATGCCTTCACACCAGGACTGCTCGAACGGCCAGAGGTTATAATCTGTGTAGAAGACCTCACGCCTAGCCCTTCAGCCAACCCAACCTCGCCAGAGCTTCCTCCTGTTCTCATTCATATTTATTGTTAGTTTGGGTATTTGGGAGGTGATTTAGCAAGCGGAAAATCCGACTTCGCACGCCAGCAGGATCTAGATTCTTCGTCAGCAATGGCAATTCGTGTAAAGTTCCATATTTGTCTTCTTTGTGGCCCCTCGACTCAGGATTGCAGCACATACAATGATCACAACATACTGTAGTCTTTCCTCTCGCATACCCATTCGAACTTGGGCTTNNCCCCCCCCCCCCCCCCTTCTCTGCGAGGCCGAACGCTTAGAGCTCTCAGCGAAGCTGCATGGTGCAGAGGCCATCAGCTGCGGTCAAGGGTAGATACTTCTGAATGACAGCCCGCGTCCTCTTGTGTAGTCAGGAAAACTCATTCCAGGGCTGCAGGTCCTTCAGCAAGCGGCACACTTTTTGTCCGTTTTTTGTCCCATAATTACCACAGACCAAACATGGAATATGCATTCGCGGGAGTCCCTACATAACCGATACCAGTTTCCATTTCATTTTGCATCATCTGTTGTGATTGGTTCTCATTTTGCAGAAAGTCCTTGGGCAGGCTTCTCTGGCCTTGCTCCGTGGCTCAGCACGGAGCGGTGCCCCGGTCGATGCAGTGGCAAATGTGGCCGAGATCAAGGACGGAAGGGCCAAAGGTTTTTCCTTTGGTTTTCGAAAAAAAAGAGAGGCACTTTCGTGATGTTTCCGAAGAAAAGGATTAAAACATTTAGTGGACGAGGCGAGGGATGCCTATTCTTAGCCAAATCCTCGCTTGAAGACCTTGCTGCTATAGTCTCGCAAGTTGGGAACACAGTCGAATTTCGACGTTTACAGTAGACATCCATACGGGATTCCAACAGCTTTCCCCAGGGCCGGGGTTTTGTGGTTCGGGTTGTTTTTTTTACTTCTCCGATTGCAGGAGCGGCTGCGAGGAGAACAGGATCTGCGGCAGGCACTGCAGGAGGAGGCCAGTCGTTCGTCGGTCTACAACTTCTTTTCCTAGCATGTGGTTCATTTTGAAATACATGTTTCTAGGAACATGTTCGAGCGCAATTTCTCAGAGCCAGCTAACACATTGCGCAACCGTGATCGCCAGTGTAAGTCCCGTCTTAGATGTGTTCTGTCGCGTTGCTCGCAGCAGTTAGCAGGTGCGGGATCTTACCACTCAGCTGGAGATGCTGGCAGGGGCAAGGCAGGGAGTTGCTTCGTCTGGCAAGTCTTGCTGCACCCCCGGATGCCCCCACGGGTGTTTGCTGCGCAGGGTCGAGCAAAAGACTCTCTCTGCTCCTTCACCCTTGAGAGAGCTGCCGTGCTCCCAGTGCCATGCTGGCTTGCTCCCAGTGCCATGCTGGCTTTCCAGTTCAAAGACCCCAGCTGGGCATGCAAATCACTTGGGTCGTTGCGAAGAATCTTAAAATCAGGGTCCCTATCCACCCCAAGAATTAAATCTTAGACTCCCGAATCCGGGGACCCTCACCAGTGAACATGCCTTGGGTATTACACTAGCCACTAGTTACTACATCCTACGTCCTCAAATCAAAGCCAAGGACATCTCCACTAGCTCCAGGCTCTCCTTTGTCATGGCCTTGGCTTTTGGATGCTTGCTAGGTACCCATTAAAGTAATATTAGGGTTATACTGGGGTTACATGGGGAGAATGGAAAAGAACATGGAAACTACTATATAGACCTGTGGTATATTTTGGCAATTTGCAAGTATGGATTAACTCTATGTTGCAAGGACTAACGGCATACTGACCTGACAGCGCCTGTGACTACCAGCCTGCTAGAAAGTCGGCACCTCCCAAATTGGTAGGCTTCATATTCTTGGCCCCTCAGCAAGGGAGAGCTTCTGGCAAGTCGAGTCTTGCTCAGCCAAGGCACCAAGGAACAAGCCGCTCAGGCTCGGTTGCAATATGTTGCAATTTGAACAGTTCCGAGTAAATGGTTGGAAAAACGTATGCAGACCACAACACTTCCACCTGCCTCCTTCGTAGTTGTGTAGGAAGCATGACAGGGCAGGGCCAGTGCAGGACCCCATCCTGTTTGGGGAAGGTATGCCCCCCAAAAAATGGAGTGTGAATGGGAAGCAGCTGGTGGCCGAATCTGTACGGGGTGCGACTGCTGTGTATGAGTGCCGTAAAGGAAAGGAAAGCGTATGTCACCAGGCTGGTCTTGGTTGTGGAGGAAGTGGACCTACTAGTTTGCTCGCAAGCTAGGATCGACCATGCTGCAGACTCAAATCTGCTAAAAAAAGGCTACAATGCTTGCAATAGCCCAAAGTTTGCTTCTCCAGTAGTTTGCTCCCGGTAAAAAATCGCAAAACTCAAAGCCCTTGGAGAAAAGTGCAGTATTATATCAGCAGCATCGTCTCAGCCTCCTCGTTGACAAGGAGCTGAAGCCGCTATCCGAGGCCTTTGCCAGAGGTCAGTGTGGATACCCGCTGCCGGCATCAACCGAACGCGCGGGGAATTTCAATGGAGACACGACGACCTGCTAAAGTGAAAGGTCCCAACAGATCCACCTCACCACACATGTCCGGCTCCGGCTTCGCGGGATAACGCTCCCTCCTGCTATTGGCAGACATGGCGTGTAAGGTACCTTCGAAAAAATATGCTGGCCTGGTCTGACGTGCATTGTTGTGAGTGTCGCAGGACCCATGAGAGTCAGGCCAGCAAACAAGGTTTACTCAAGATGGACTCTGTACGAAGACAGCAACGGCAAGTGACGGTAATGAGATTTAGGAGGGTTTCTCGGAATCATCACTGTCAAATCCTAGGGCGGCCCTGTAATTATAATCCGCTTATGATGCGAATGTCGAGTGTCCCTCTGTTTTGCTAAATCTAACCCTCAACCCTAAGCCCTGAAGCTCATGCATCTCCAAAACCCAATTGAACGGACCTGAGGGTACCTTCGTTTTGCGAAACCCTCACTTCAGAGGAAGCCGGTCGCCAGCCTCGCGCTCCCCTTTGCCACGTTCCTTGAAGCAGGCGCTGCGCTGTTGGTCTGCGGGCTTTTGGGGGGTTGGTCTCTAGATTTTGGGGGTTCTCGGGTTGAAGGTTAAGAGGTTGAGGCCTGAGGATGGGATGGAAGCTGTTCTTCTGATTCTGTTTCACAGGTTTCTTTATGCCGTAGTGGTTGTTCTTTCTACTGTGATGGTCATTTTGATCGTGATTCCATACTACCCCAGCACCTCGAGACACCCCACTCAACACCGGCCACCCGCCACTCTGGGGGAGTTTCGCGGGTAGTGCAGGATCCTGTGATACGAATCTGTAAGCTTGAGAAAAACTGCAGATATGTTGACTATTAAAGGATCTCTTTGATCCAGTTTTCGTTGACAGTCACGTGGAGATGACTGGGGAAGATTGTGTGTGTTGGGCTCTAGCAGGCAGCTGGGCAGCTGTGGTCTGTTGATGGTACTAAATTTCATGTTCTCGTAGATTACACCTTGTGATAGAAGTTGAGACGCTCGGCTGAGAAGAGAGCTGTTTGAGTTCTGAGCCATTAAGCATGGGCTCCGCACACAACGGTCTGAGTCTGTGATCCCTGTGAGGCATTTAGACCAGCGCAAAAGGACAGTTGCAGTGCAGTTGGGGCTCCATCAAACAGAACGCGCCTGCTCATCCGGACGAGGCAAGTGAGCTGGCAGCCAGATCCCCAGTTGGGAGATCCTCAACATGATCGCAACTTTTTGTTTAAGGACAATCTCAACATTTCCATGTATCTACAGTCTACAGGGTCCCCAAACAGGGAAGCTCCATCTTGAGAAGTCCTCAATTCAGTGGCTGGAGACCGGGACTCCCATGGATCAAGTTGCGTGTCTCCTGCTGCCGGTATCATTTTGCTGAAGGGCAGTCTTGTGGTATTCCGGGCCACGGCAGGTGGCAAATTAATGATTGAAGATTTCTTCCATCCATCAGATGGAGCTAGCGACTGTTTTTGTTTTTGGCGGGGGGCATTTCTGATCTTCCTGCAAGCCCAAACCGGTTTGCCTCAATTCGTCCAGATTGCTCTGAGGCTAGGTGTGGCCAGCTGCAGGTAAGGGTGCGGAGTGAGCACCGCTGCACAGCATCCAGTGATGAGCAGAAGCATGCTGATCTTTTTTTTGGATGCGTGCAGGCAGAAGCAGAATCTTCTTATTGCCTATTCGTGCTTCGTAGAACTTTGGGGAATAGATTCCTGTACTTGCCCTTGTGTGAGTAAGTCTTTGCACTTGTGCGCCTTGCAGGCAGAGGTCGCCTCTCTGAAAGCTCGCTCGGTAGTGCTGGAGCAGGACAGAGAAAGTTGCCAGGGACCTGACTAGAATTGCCCATTCAAACTCCCGGGAGATTACTCAAAGCTTTGGGTCCTGTTCCTGTCTACTACATCATGGATCCCATCACTGGTGGCACCCGGACTATAAACCCTAAACCCTAAACCCTGACCTGGCTCAAGGCTCAAGCCATTTTGGCTCAAGGCTAGTTTTCCGCTGATAGAGGGTTTTCAAAGGGTGCCCGCTTCTCCCCCAGATCTACGTCACGAGTGCAACACGTGAGTGGTTCATACTACGCGTCTTCCTCGCCGGGGTTCGGTGGATCGACCTAGTGATGTTTGCTCCCCCAGGGTGTCCTCGTCTGCAGGCCTTTGACCCAGCCGAGGAGTGCCCCACTGGTGTGCTGGCTGAAGGCGAACTAGGGGTCCACTTTGGGGTCCACCAGGTTCTTGAGAGCACCGAGGGCACGTTGTTTCAGTTCCAAGGGGTCGACCTGGGACGTGGCTAATGGCCTCGCCGCGTAAGGGGGTCCCAACCGGACCGGATGCTGACCTGGATGAAGAAAAGGAACACAAGAAGCTTAGAGTCGAACAGGCACCTGTGGCTTTGGAAGTGTCCGTTTTCAGGCAGCTGCTTCAGGAGCAGGCGGATGGGTTTTTGGCTTCGAACAAAGCACAGCTCGATCAGGCTGTCAGCCGAATGGAAGAGAAGCAGAAGCTAATGTTCCAAACCCTACATGGCAGGATTGACCAAGCTACTGCCAAAATCGAGACTGTTGAAACTAAGGTGGACGACTTCGAGAAGCGACTGTCTCAGTTGGAGCAAGGGACTTCGACGCGAGCAGGGTCTGACATGAGTACACAGGGCAGGCAGACGTTGGTGTTCGGGGGCTGGCCTCCGGAAAGCCGGAGGCAAGTCATCTTGCAGGAGCTGGGCAAGGCGCTGGACTTGGCGAATGTTCGCCCAATGTTGGACGATGACCCCTTCTGCACGGGGGCATCTTTCCCAGGGCCGGAGAAGACCCCGGGATGGTCAAACGCAGGATGTTTTCGGTTATCCAGGCCTTCAATGCGGGCAAGTTCACCAACGGTGCTGGGAAGAAGATATGGGTCTCCTTTAGTAGGACCAAGCCTGAGAGGATGAGGGGCGCCCATGCTGCATGGGCCAAGCGCATTTTGGGTGAGCTGCGCATAGACCTTGAACACACGGCCATGGACGTGGAATATGGGACGGCTAGTGTGTGGTTGGGCTCCTCCAAAATCATGGGGCTTGAAACGCTTCAGCAGCAGGAGGGCGTGTACATCGATGACAGGAACCCGGAGAAACCCTACATTAACATGGCAGCGATGGCCAGGGAGCTGGGCATCTCAGTGGGCGAGGTTCACGAGGCTGTCAAGAAAACAATGCGCTGACAGGCTGAGGAGGGCAACGCTGAGCACAGGTTTGCAGTAGCATCTTGGAACATAGGGGGCACGGATTTTCAGCATGTTCCGGCGGCACTGACTCAGGTTTTCAGAATGCAGGCAGACGCTGGATGTGCTGGGATGGACAACGAATGCCAAAAGGACATGATCGTTGGCCTCCAGGAGTTACCTAGGGATGACGCTGGCTGGAAAACGTATGAAGCTGAGGGTTGGAGCATTGTTGCGCACCGTCATGTTGATGCATGGAGGGGAGAAGGGATCATGTTTCGGAAAGACCAGTGGGCAGTGATGCGGAGGAAGTGTCACGGCAAAGGGCTCTGGGTTAGACTCAAGCATGTGCACACGGGCTTGCAGTTATGGGTTGTGGACGCAAGGGTGCACTCACGCGCAGCGTGCCAGCGAAGTGCATGATACTCTGGCCGCGTTGCAGGCGACTACCTTGCCGGTGGTGCTGGCTATGGACTCTAATGCGGCCGTGGGCTGGTGCAGAGGACAGGGCGAGTTTGTGCCCCATGGACTGGATGGGAAAAGTCTCAGGATGTTGGATAAGCTCAGGGGCAGAGGCCTTGCTGTCATGGGCCCGACCGAGGGTCAGAGGTCCCTGCCGACATCGCGACCGAGGAAGCAAGGGGTCCAGGGCACGGTTATAGATCTGGTCGCAACTTCGATCCCCTTGAAACGGTCGTTGGCTGCCAAAATCGCAAAACCTCGCCAGAGTGAAGCCTACAAAGACCCAGTCAAGGTTAAACAGTTGTCGGCATCCTCATGGAAAATCGCGTTAAAGCAGCGACAGCAGGCCAGAAAGGAGTGGGAAGAGCAGCAACTTTCACAGGCGGTGCAGGGTAACTGGAAAGCGCTCAAGGCATCCCGCAGAAGGATTAGCGCGTGGGAACCAGGATTTGCGGAGGCTACCGAGGGGGAGCCCCATGAGGCTATACATGGTCACCTGAAAGGCATTTACCAAGGCCCTGGCACAGGCCCCTGGAACCCAGAGGGAAGGGAAGTACAGGAGACGGCGCCCTTCTTGCTGGAGGACCTGCAAAGAGCAGCAGACAAAGGGAAAATGGGCAAATCCTTGGGGCCCGACGGTGTTCCACATGAACTGATCAGGGAGTTGGCGTTGCACCCTGAAGCAGGGCCCCTGTTACTGGAATGGTACAACGGCATACTAAGACCAGGTGAAATGCCGGAGGACTGGTCGTCGGTCGTCATGATTGTGTTACCCAAGGTGGCTGCCCCGAGACAGGCGTCGGAAGTCAGGCCAATCAGTATGGGTTCGGCAGCATGCAAGGTCTTCAGCCGCATGCTCCTTGAGAAAGCGCTCCCGCTTCTCGGAGAGGCGGGCACGCGCCAGTGTGCCGGCGCAGGGCGCCAGGCATCTGACTATATATTCTCGGTTGCGAGGCTAATGTCGTTGGAGCGGGAGTGGCGCTTTGGCCTTTCCTTCTTTAAGTTGGACCTGTCTAAGGCTTTCGATCGGGTGTCCAGGGCCAAGTTGTATTCCATGATCAGAACCAGAATCGGGACAACGCAAGCCTGTCGTTGTTGGTGGGGGCTCCTGCAAAGCACACCACGTGGGGTAGCTCGACGTTTGACATGTGCACGGGGATAAAGCAGGGTGCGATAGAGTCGCCAACGCTCTTTTCCTTGGTGTCTGAACTCTGCGTGGCAGATGCGTCCGACAGGTACAATTGGGGCGCACAGGGGGACAAGCTGCCGGGACTCAACCTGCGGGATATTTTGTTCATGGACGACAGCGTCATGTGGGACTCCAACACCGAAACCTTGCAAACCAGGGCGAACCAGTTGGCGGTGGTCTTTGCAGAATGGGGTCTTGATCTCAACACCAAAAAGTGTCAGTGGTGCAGAAGCCCGCATTGCAAGCAGAAGGAGCCTTTGGTAATTAAAGGGACAAAATTGGAATCGTCGGAATACCTGGAGGTCATGGGTCTGAAGATGTCCGTGAACATGTCCCCGTCGGAGATGATCGGACCGCTGCTAGCCAGGGCAAGGGATACCTTCTGGTCTTTGAAGCACCTCCTACGTAAAAAAGGGAACATGAAGCAGAGGTTGTACATGTTGCAGACCATTGTAGGCGGAGTTGCCCTATGGTGCTTAGCTGCCATTCCGCCCGACAAGCAAGCGCTGGCGATGCTGAATAGTGTTCAGACACAATTTCTTGTATGGATGATGCGCAAGGGAAGGCAGCAAGGTGAGAAGTGGTTGGACCACCATATCCGAGTCCACAGAGAGGCGAGATCCTTCCCTATGGTTGCAGAGATAGGGCGTATTCAGGGCATAGAGCCAGGGGAGTCGATAGGCCAGTGCCGTTGGCCAGTTCTGTCTTGGACAGTTGGAGGGATCTACAGTGGTGGAACCGTGAAAAAGCCAATCCGCGAGTCAGTGGAAGACAACTGCGCAGCAAAGAAGGGTTTGGAAAGCAAGGGAGGAATCCTTTCTGAACATGATGGACGTTCCATAGGCTTCAGGGAGACAATCAATGCTTGAGATGTGAACCTAGGGATGTGCAGGGACGAATGACGCACCAACAAAGCTGAAAGTTCCCTGCCCAGACCTCAGCCATTTCAGAGCAAGGCCAAACTGAACTCCTTTCGAGAGTGCAATGGTTTTCATGTTGCGGGGCTCAGCCCTGGCAATGCTTGCCGCATGGTTGGCGCAAGCAGGGAAGGGAAATCACTCGGACACATCGCGAGAAGATGGACAATGGTTGGTTGAGACAGCCGGGACTCCTGCGCCCTCCATTTTGGAGGCCAAGGACAAAACTGGCAAGCTCGAGGACCACAATGGCATGACCATGGTGCGGGAGCCGGTGAGCCTGCCATGCTGTGGGGCCATGGACGGCGGCTACAGCACGATCAGGGACAAGAACTACACTCACCCTCAACGGCAAGAATGCCACATGGAGAAGGGCAAGGCCGGGGACTTTGACAAACGACGAGTTCTACCGGACGAACATGATGGACTGTGCCTGATGCAGGAGAACGGGCCACCCAGAAGACGGGCAATATACAGGAAGCTCGCCTGGACGAGATCGTGGAGGAGTTCCATGCGAAGCTCTGGAGGACCCGCAGAAGCGACCCCCGCAAGGCAAGGAACCTCCTCTTCCTCCTGTCCAACATGCTACGACGAGGGGTACGAAGCCGTCTGCAACCCTTAGGCAGGTGAGCCGAGCCCTGGGGGACATCGTGGACCTAGCTTGGCCCGGGTTGATGAACGTGCGTTGCGACCAACATGCAACATGGTTGGAAGGGTTCTGGAAGCGGGTCCGGGCAAAGTGTAGAGCGGCAGTCAAGGCCAGAAGGAAAGAGATGCGGGCCCAGCCAGACCAGGACGACGAGGCCATGCACGTGGCATCAACGGAGGAAGAAGAAAGAGGGGAATGGGAGCGGCAACCCCTGCTGGCACAGCGGGAACACCTACCTCATGCCGAAGACGAGCAACCTCTTCCTCTTGCAGATGAAGCACGAGGGCAGCCACTTCCACTCGCGCAAGCAGAACGCCCTCTTTGTGTTCAAGATGCAGGCCCTCCTTCTGTGCAGACGGAGACGAACAAGACTTAATGCAAAGGTCTATGAAGCCCCCATGGAGGCGAACTAGGAAGGGGAAGGGCAAGAAGGACGAGGGCAAGGGCAAGAACGCAGGATCGTCAGGGTGGTCGTGCTGGGCGCCGAGGGGGTGGAAAGAGGGAAGGGATGAGCCGAGACCAAGCAAATCCTCGGCCAGCCATGAGGTCGTCACCATCGAGGACAACGCGAATGAAGCTCCGGAGTTTACGACGGACAAACCGTCGCAGCTCTGGAGAGATGTTCTCGGACTCCAGGCAGAGGACGAGAAGGGCGCCAGAGGACCATTGGGACTACCACGGTTCATGAGGGAGAACCTGGAGGCCAGCCTCAGTGACATGAACATGGAAGAGACCAACCTCATGCTGGCGTCCTTCATGCAGCTGCAGTCCCTGGTCATGGCTCAGGTCTCGGCGCTGATTCAAGCACGAATCAGAGAACTGGCGGCCGAAAGACCCAACGAGGCGGAAGAGGACCAGATGAAAGTGCGATGATGCAGAGGTCCCTCATGGTAGCCACGGCGGAGGACGGCATAGGGACTTTTGGGTTCTGAATTAAGCTCTCGGAAATCCTAACGGAGATGGAGGAAAAGACCAGACACGTCTGTGTGGACATCCTCCGAGGCTACTTGGCAACCAGGTACGGAACCACACCAGCGTGCATGGGCGAGAGGGCCAGAAGCTTGGAGGCCCTGATCGTGGCCTTCGCAGGGCCGGAGAGCGCAGAGGATGACATCACGGAAAAGGTGGAGGACGTCAATTGGGCGAGGCACTGGTGGACCAAGCTACTTCCGGCTATGCGAGAAGAGGAGGCAATCCGTGCGGAGAGGTTGGCCAATGGGTGTGTGGAGGAGTCGGCCGACACGGTGGAGTCCTCACAGGCCGACAAGGATGGCGACACAGCATGCAAAAGCACAGAGGTGGACCAAGTGGATGAATTGGAAGTGCTTCAGGAAGATGCCTACCAGCAGAGCTTGGCGGAAGCGGCCCAGCTGCGGGAACACGAGCAGCATTTTCAGGAGGACCTGGAAGCCGACCTGGACCGCTGGGAGAAGTACCAGGAGTGCCTCAAGGCGGAGAAGGCACAACAGTGGGATGATTGGGCTGTGAGTTCAGAGATGGGCAGAGCGGACCGCAGCCCAGAGTTGCGTCTGCGCATCATGGTGCAGCACCACGGAGCAGGCGGAGCTGTTCACCAGAGACGTGAAATGCTGGTCCCGGTAGGGCAAGGGCAAACGGTGACCATGGGACTTCAAGTGAGCCATGACGCGCTACCGTCCCAGGCACGTCGCTTCAGGGCTTGCGAGAAGAGGGTGAAGGGCTGTCGTCGGCGGGAAGCCGCGATGCAGTGGCGATGGACCTCGCGCCACAGAAGAAGAAGGTGAAGGTGACGCACATGAACCCCGGCTTGCGTCCTGGCCTGAGCTCCTCAGCATCGTCTACTGAAGAGTATGTGCCCTCCAGGAAGCCTGCACAGTGTAGAGTCCTGAATAGGGATGAGTTGGAAGGGTTGTCTCCTGATGAGGTCCCAGGGTTTTTGAGCAGAACCCCAGGGATGACGCTGTATAGAGAGTGGTCCGAGCACAGGGTCTCCAGTGAGTATGTCCTTGAGGCTTTCGGTAGACTGGTGCTGGAAGCTTTTGAGTCCCAGAGTCTTTTCCTCCGGGAGGAATTTCGTGCCGAGTGATTTTCCAGACTGGTTGCTAATGGCCGGTTACCGCCTGCTCAATTTGAGCTTTACCTAACAGCTGGAGGGTAAAAGAGGCGCCCACAAAAAAAAAAGAAAACCTGACCTGGCTATGCAGCTTTTGGCGCTTTTGCCTGGGCCGTGCCACAATGGTGTTTCCTCGAAGACTTGTCAGCGGGGAGAAAATGTCCGAGAAAAAAAACCCTAAACCCTAAACCCGTTCCATTGAGGAGAATGATGACTTGAAGCTGCGAGTTGCCTCCGACGGCGATGCTGGGCCAGGGCCTTTGGGAAGTGTCCCCTGAGATTCCCTGAGCTAATCCCATGACTTCAGTACACCTCCGGCCTTGTGGGTGTGAGGGTTTACAGCGGCATGTAGGGATGCAGAGCTATATCATGGGTAGGGAATGTACTGTATGCTGTAGGGGATCTCTGGGGCCTACCAGGTTGACAATTCAAAGGTGGAGCCTTGAGTTGGTAATTTCCAGACCTGAGGACCGCAGCAGCATCCGCTGAGATGGACATGCTGAGAGGCAGCTTGGAGAACGTCCATGCCGGGAGCCATAGTCATCATGGTTCAGGTCATACTTGGGACTGGCCTAGGCCATGACCAGCTCTGAGAATTTGCCTGCATGCAAGGCCCAGAACCGAGCTTTGGCAACAGAGATCGAGGCTCGGGAGGGGTGCCCGCGGCGTCATGTGGGGTTTGACAAACGAGCTACAGTACTGACAGAGATGTCGAAGGCCTCCTTTTTTTGCTTGATCCGAGGACCAGCGCTTATGGGACCCTGGAAGCCCTGCGTTTTGTCATTCCCGTTGCCTCGCTGCTAGAACTGGTTGACATCACAGCCCTGGCTTGTTTGGCAGAGCGTAGCTCAAATGCTTCGAACATGGAATCAATCAATGAATCAAGCAAGCCATCGATCAAACAATCAATCAGTCATTCCAAGCTGCACACAGGAAGATGTTCAGATTCATTTGGTGACCTGTCGCATCCTGTCGCCCAAGCACATGTACAGCTATGAACCGTTTTTACATGTTGCAATACAGAATTGACTAAAGGCTTCCTTCCCACGACATGGCCATGCAGCTACACATCACATTGCTAAGCGGGCAGACGACCTCGCTCCGCCTGCCAGCAGAAGCGCGGCCGAGGGACCTTCGTCGCCAGGCCTCGAGCGACCTCCAGGTTGGAGAAAGCCTGGAAGGGGCCCTGAGCCTTGCCTAAGCCTCGTAGATGAAATCTGGGGGGAATCTAGCGCAACTTTGCCTGGATTCGATTTGCAGGTGGGTATTGCAGCCCTTGTCACAGCCTCTGGACAACTGCTGGATGAAGCCAAACAGACCTTGGTCGATGCGGGCCTGGCTGATGGCGATGCGCTTAGCGCCGTGGTGCGAGATGCTCGGCATCTTGGCTCAGGAAGGGGGTTCTGAGTGACAAGCATTTGTGATTCACATCACTGTTTCCTGGATCTTTGCTGGTCGCCTCAGGATTGTGACAAGCCGTAACTCGGAAGCCTTCGCGCTTCTCGGCAGTGACGGATCAGTTGTTACCTGGGGCCTTCCCTTTGCCGGAGGCGACAGCAGCGCCGTCCAGGACAAATTGATTGACGTGAGGGACATTTGTGCCGCTGATGAGGCTTTTGCCGCCATTTTAGGAGATGGGACTCTGGTCACTTGGGGAAACCCTGACTGCGGCGGTCAAGGTGCCGGCAGTTTGGGGCTCATCGACGTTCAAGAGGTGGTTGCATCTAAAGCAGCTTTTGCAGCGCTGCTGGGGGATGGCCGAGTTGTTGCGTGGGGCACTGCAGACTACGGAGGGGACTGCAGCGCAGTGGAAGAGCAGCTCCAGGGCGTGCTCAAGCTGCAGGCTTCCAGTTCGGCCTTTGCTGCACTACTTCGTACTGGTGGAGTTGTGACCTGGGGTGATGCAGATTCTGGTGGCGACAGCAGTCAAGTCCAGTCTTTGTTGCAGGATGTTCAGCACATTTCGGCATGCGACGATGCATTTGCTGCCATTCGCTGCTGTGGGAAGGTGGTCACATGGGGGAACGCACGTTTTGGTGGCGACTGCAGCGCGGTGCAACATGAACTTGTGGACGTACAGCACATTCAGGATTCGGATGGGGCCTTTGCGGCACTTTTGAAAGATGGAAGTGTGGTGACCTGGGGCCATCCAGATTATGGTGCAGATTCCAGCACGGTGCAGAAAGACCTGCGCCAGGTACGCAAGCTTTGCGCTTCTGGTGGGGCTTTCGCAGCAATCCTAAAACAGGGTCGAGTGGTGACCTGGGGAAGCAGGCGCTGTGGCGGAGACAGCAGAGAGGTGCAAGAACAGCTGCAGCATGTGCAGGATGTGCAATCCACAAACGGAGCATTTGCGGCAATTTGCTTGGATGGGTCGGTGGTGACCTGGGGAAGTGCGAGTCATGGAGGTTCCAGCAGAACGGTCCAAGATCAACTGCATAACGTGATTGACATTCGCGGCGCATGTGCCGCCTTTGCAGCTCTTCGGGCCGATGGACAAGCAGCGAGGCTGCACATTTAGCCAATGTTACCTATTTTGAAAGCTTCAGTGAAGTCATCACCGCCCCTAAGAGGCTGACCAAAAAGTTAGCAGTCATCCATTACTTTTGCCTGATCTCCCAGTGAGCTTTCTCAACTGGCTCGGCGCACATCATTAGTGATCATGTCCCATGGCAAACATCGGGATCATGATGAAGCAGCATGTTAAGCATACTACCTTTTCGCTGAAGAAAGCGCAACACCCCACCTGGCAACGGCAACTTGCCCAGGTTGTGGTCTGGGGTGCTCCAGACTGTGTCGCTTGCAGCTCCCTGGTGCAAGAACAGCTACGAGATGTTCGCTGCAAACCAAGCGGGGGTGCTGGGTGAAAATCGGAGCGGCTGCCATGCCTGTAGCGTCCCAGCGCTGAGGAGTGTTCCGGGCTGCTCAGCCTCTTGAATGCCTGATTGCAGCAATACTTGGCCACCAATGCGAGGCTTCCCAAATCAGAAACCCCAAGCAAGTGGCTTCAATGTACTACCAGTAAGACCTGCTACCTGGCTCTTACCCTACCGCATCTTAAGGTACCTAGCTCAATAATTGTCGGAAAAACAGATAGCATTTACAAACTCAGCCGCGCCTCCAGCTTCATGCCGAAGACAGAGTCAAAGTTCGGAAGAGCCTGAACATGATCCCGCCAGATTCCTTGAACCCTACACCGGTGCTGAACAAGTTTTGACCTACTGGGCCTCTTTGCAAGTAGAAAACTTTGTAGGATTCTGGGGTGTAACTGTGCCATCGACATGTCATCTTCATTGTCTAGGGAGGGATCCACACCCTGCTTAAACAGCAGTTCTATTACTTTTGGTGTATATGAGGCATATGAGCTGGTGCCTTTGCATAACTGAAGCCTTGATGGATACGAACTTTGTTTGCGGCGCATATCTCTCAGCCTTCTACGATCTCGAGACTTCTTGTGTGGCTCTGCAATGCCTCCCTTGATAAAACCTCTGAAAATACAAAATCAAAATAAACTTTGCCCCAAAGTATAACGAAAGTTCCTCGTGGGAGGGAGCTTCGCTCATATACCTGAACGTAGTGAGCTGGGTAGTGGGGGTGTAGGGGGCCGGTGAGGGGTTTTCTGGGAGTGGCTGGGTCACCGTGTTGGCGGGGCTGGCGGGAGGAAGAGGGGGCTCCGGCCTGCAGCAAATGCAGGCCACTACAGGCCCTCAGTATAATTTCTTCAACCTACTTCGAAGGTTCCCAATAACTTCTTTGGGTCTGAAGTGTGTTGTAGCTGCAAGCAAACCCTGCAGATTGCATTCAGTGCGCAGTCCTTGTTGCTCTTCCAGCGCGGTTACAGCACACCCGAGCTTTTCATAGTAGAGGTGCATTTTCAATATGAAGGGCATTTTGCCTGGTTTCTTTGAGTCCATGAAAAAAAGTAGCTTCCCTGACTTTTTGCAGTTGGACTGCTGCTCGCTCTATTCTATTGCAAGCAAGATAACGTATCTTACCGGGACATGCTCCAAGTCAATTTTGTATGGTCCCAGTGGATGCCCTATCCTCGTTGAGGGCGCACAGAGCTTTCGTTTCTACCGCTGGCCCTCAAATACTTGAAATCTTGATGGGCAGAGGGGTTTGTCCAGGATTGCCTTTGAAGGCCTGAATAAGGGTTCGTGCCCCCTACGCCCTGCCTAGCTGCCACCCCATGAACTGTTTGACCAGCAGGCGGAACGCCTCCGCCACCGCGCCGTTTTCCGAAATCAGGTGCTGCATGTTCTATCTCTCTCTCTCTCTCTGTCTCTCTCTCTCTCGTTTCTCTACCCGAGGATGACGCTGGAAAGCAGTGGGTTCTACTGGGGTTGTTTGGTAGTCATAGTCATGTCGAGGCATTATGTTGGCTAATTAGCTACTAGCCAACATAATGCCGCGAAAGAAGGGGCCACGATGAGAAATGCCAGAACATATATGCGCAAGCCCTATGCATGTAGGCCTCCCCTTCTGTCTAGAGCAAAAGGACCTCCGCAATCCACTCGGCATCTCAAGGATTTTTGGTCGCAGCGATCCTTTGGTTATGTTGAACTCGATGTTTGCTCGAGTCTGCTTGAGCTGCTGAAGTGTTGGAAGGGAGGCTTGGGGGTCCGTTTCTCAGCGGGTTTTGCAACTCCCATTTGCAGTCCTTAATGTGTCAGTTCACTGCGATGTCACGGAATTGGGACGAATTGCGCTGGCACCTACACAAAGTCTGTGGATGCCACCTATCAATTTGAAACGTATCTGCTTGTAGGCATACTATCTGTTGCCATGATTGTTGAGAATGTTTTATGGTGTCATACATAGATGTGGTCACTCTTGTTGATGTGTCACAAGCTGTCGAGGTCAAAACTTGCAAGGGTCGCAGCAAACTCACTTTTCTGTCATGACCTAGTCGTTGCCAGACAATTTTCTACTGCTGCCCATCAGCTGTTACGGTAACTTTTAGTCTCAGTTCTTTACTGTAGTTCTTGCTAGATGTTAGAAGCGACAGCAGTGCTGGCACTCTTCCCGCTAGGGCGAGGAGGAAGAGCTTCGGCGGCTGCAGCAACAGCTGAATCAGGTGTTGCTTTCGCAATGTTCAGACTTGGGGCCTTTTTGCTGGAAGGAGTACATACCGATACTGGCAATTGGTCTGCCTCAATACGGGTTCCCAGGAGTTGCCAGTGATGCCAGATGGGTGGGTGCAGAAAGTCTGCGACGAAAAGACATGGCTAAGATCTGATAGATCGCCAATGAGAACATGTAGAGCCTGCCACAGCTTCTTAGACATTTCGTCGCTGTCAAACGTGCAATGATCGAACTTTGACAAGACAGTATTGCTTGCTATGTATGATGCCCTTGTTACCGTGGCTGGCAGTGGGTTTTGAAGAACCTCCTGCCAGTTTCAGTTTCAGATCCGACAGCAAATTTGTCCAATGGAGGCTTATCAGAGTTTGGCTTCGGAGCGCCAGCGCATTGGCGTGTTGTCTCAGGCTTTGGAACGGGAGTGAGCATCGCATGTCTGCTAGCTCCCATCTGAGAGAATACATGGAGGTCTTCAGCCAACACAAAATGCCTCTAGCCCATGCTAGGTCAACATAGACCAGAAGTGCAACATTCTGTTGATGCCCCCAACATGCAACTGGATTGCTTGCTTCCATATCTATTGCAAGTCTGCTGCAGGCTCTGGAGGTCGAAAGACACACGTCCGACTCTTAGAGTAATCACCGTCGGCGCGACGGCCCCAAACTTGACTCACAGCTGACAATGCCTCTTTCGGATGAAGACCGACATACGTCGTCAAAACCTTGAGAAAGCGTGACACCCAACCCAAATCCACCCAGGCGTGTGGTGCCCGGCGCCTCGGACACCACTGGCGCGATGGCACTGGCAACAGCGCGAGCGACCATTGCCGCTTGCTGCGCACTTGTCCAGGTTGAATGTTTGGGAGTCAGAGTATATAATCCTGCAATCCCTACATAAACCTTATAATCCCTATATAAACCCCATATAACGACTATATAATCCATGTATAAAGCCTATCTAGGGAACCTTCTATTAACCTCTGTATGACTCCTAAAGCTTCGAAGCCGGATTGGAAGCTGTTTGTTTCCCCGGCGGTTCGCTCCGCCTCCTGTGCTATGAGACTTGAGACAGGCCCGAACAATGTTGGGGTTATATAGGGATAATGAAAAAGAAAATGGAAACTACTGTATAGGGTTTAGGGTTTAGGGATAACCCCAATATACCATAGTAGTTTCCATTTCCTTTTTCATTATACCTATATAACCCCAATATACTATAGTAGGTTCCATTTATTTCCCATTATCCCAATATAACCCAAATATTTCTGGAAGCCATGGAGGACCCTCCTAAACAAGCCTCAGGTGCAAAGAATCATGGTCAATGTAATAGGTACCCCTTTGATTCTTGCAGCACGGCTTCCTGAAGTTTGCGCTTCATTGGCGTTTTACTTGCCATTGGTTTGGGGGCGGAGGGGTGGCCTGGAGCCCTGCTACAGTAGCGCCCAAATCATCCCCGTAATCGCCCACTTCTGCCAGTTGCCAGGCAGACCTACAACAACGTCTGGATGAGGCCCTGAAGGTCTGGTCCTGGCCTGCAGGGTAATGGGTGCAGCGAGACAGGGCTTCTACAACCTCTTGCGCAGAAGCCTTTCTTCTCAAGTGAGCTATAGTCTAAACTCCTGAAAGGGGGGTTATATAGGGGATTATATAGGGGATTATTACAGGGGCTATGGCTCAAGTAGGCCATGGTCTCGGGATCTCAATTAATCAGCTCGGCTGATTTTCCATGTCTACTGAGTCTACTAGAAGCTTTGTCATACCTGGAAGGCTCGCAGTCAGCTGCCACCCGCTGGCCATCTACATGAGGCCTACAACTAAACACAAAATCGCAGTGATGAAGACCTTGCGATTTGTGGGTTTTTTAAGGTGGTTTCCAAAGGAGTTTCAAATTTGGTGCAGATGAGCCCCCCACACTTGTGTTCATGGTTCTGCGGCCTGGCGAGTGATGATTTTTTTGTTCGCTGTCTTTATCATAGCATGAACTGCGGAGCTTCTGCATTTTCCTGCCACGACGCACAATTAAAGCGACTGCAGCCCAATGCACTTCATGGGTAAAGCAAAGCATGTAACATTTCGCGGAAGCGAAGGAAAAATTCAAAGCACAGCAGCAGCCCCCACAGCATGATCCGCTCAAGGATGAAATTCTGACAGCATGAATTATCCTTATTCGCATGATGCTGCGGTTGGAGCTCGATGAGCATTTTTGCTGAAGGTTCTTATGCTTTGCGCATTGCCAGATTCCTCAATGAGAAAGCGTGGCCAACAGCCAACTCACAGCCTGCGAACGGCGTGACGTGAACTTGAGGTATCATAGTTTGCAAACGTCCAACCGGAGAACTGCAGGAACGTTTCTCTTTCCTCTCCAATCTGTTTTGCATCACCGTCCAAGTGTTCTGAGATGCTCTCACGCCCCGGGGTCGTGTTTGCCGTAGAGCATTCGGTGCAGGCCTTGTCAAGGCTTACGGAGTCTAAGAACCTGGACATGGCTCGATCGCTGATAACAAGCCCCACTTGGTTGTCAATCTGATTGAGAGCGTGGTACATGTGATTAGGAAAGGGGGTCACGTTCTTTACACGATATGCTATCTAGCCAGTAATGGCGCTCATTCTCAACTAGCCTAGCCTGCCGTCATCCGGCCACGGACCACCGACAGCACGACGAACATCGTCTGCCTTGTTGCCACTGCTGTGCGCTGACGCATGATACAAGGCTTTCGGGATCTCCTGTTGTAGAGTCCACGTGACATCGCAATTTACACACTGTTTGCCGATCAGGGAGAGGTGGCCTCCAGAATCGAGGAGCTGATGCGCTTGGCACTTATGGGTTTGTGCTGCTAAGTGATGCCTTCAGGCTGCTGTTGCCGAGCCTGGTGGTACTGGCCGTCGTCTGCAAACAAGGCAGTAAGTAGAGCAAGCCGCGTGTCAATACGAAAGCTCATCCGTCTTCAGAAGAGAAGGCCGCAACCGCGTAAACTGATTGTGTTTGTTCACGTGCCCTGTAGCTTAGTGTCAACAGATCCTAGGTTCGACATGGACAGTCAGAGCAGAAGACAGTCCTTTGGGGGCAGAGCTCAGGCGAGAACGCACAGCTTCGTCGGCAGGTAGCATCGCCAGGCACAGACACTGGCCACAGTGGGATCCATGATCAGCCAAGAACATGCACAAATCAATTCAGCTCAGCCGTGTCAGAAGAACCCCTGCTGTCCCACACAATCTCACGAGTCAATCACCAAGACCGCTGCAGTGAGGCAACTCCTCACTCAACCCATGCCCTTGCTTTGAGTGTAGTGTGGGCTTGTGATGGCTTGTGTGGAAGCTCTGGACAGGGGCCTCGCGCGCAGCGGCAGAGCAACAGATCCAGCACCTGCAGGTGCCTTCCGGGTGCTTCAACTGTGGCAGCCAAAGACTCTTGACCCTGCTTACTGTGAAGTGAGAGGGTTTACATACGGTCTCTCCTGAAGTGTCATTGAGACACCAGGATTTTGACGAAGATTTTCATGCAGCCAAAAATGTCCAAAGCAAGTTCTTCTCTGCAGTGTTTGTGCTGCGAGGCGCGCATTCAAGAGCTGCTGCGTCCGGCCCTGAGAGCTGCCATTGTCGCAGTCATCGCCTTGATTGCGTAGTAGCAGCAGCAGGAAGAGGAACAGAAGTAGATGAAGTAGATATACTGAACATACTGGGTAGTGCTTGGTACAGTAGCGAGCATTGCACGCGTATGGTGATGGCAGTCACGCCAAAGGATCAGCAGCAAAGAGCAGGGCCCCGTAAGCGCCAATCTTTCATGTCTGGGTTGCGGCAAGTACTTCATGCCGCATCTTAGGCAGGGATGGTACCATCCTAGGAAGTAAGATCATGCTTGCCTAGGATCAAGCACCATCTTACCGGGCTGTGGGGAACCGTTTTTGCTGAAGGGCAGGCCGCATTCCAAAAAGCTAGCGATGGACCAAAGTTGATCCATGGTCAGTCAAGTTTGACTCCTACACGCGCTGAACGGGATGCAGCTGAAAGGCATGCGGAAGCCTTTGAAGACTTGTGTTGCTTTCATCTTGCCGCTATTCGACTCTGCAGGCTGGATTCTGCTATTGTGAATTTCTAGTATGACATCTAGTATGAACGTCATGGAAAATGCCCAGTAGCTGCTTAGGCGAGAATACGGCTCTCCAGCAGCGAGCAGGCGGCTCCTGCCAGGGACATAGTGTGATGCTTCATAATGCACATGTTGATGCGCTGCAACTGGTATCTAGTAGTTGTGAAAGACTTCAGTATTGAAAGAACCTCCGAATATTGGGAACACAAGGGCCAAAGGTTTAGCAAAACCCTGCTGAGTCAATCTGTTGAAGTCATTGCACCAGCCTGGTCATTGGTTAAACAAACTTGGATGACATGACCTGCCATGAGCGAGGTCAGCTCTGCAAGGAAAAAATGTTTGACATTTGAAGAGCGGTGTCCTCACTGAGGTGCACCTCCCCTGGTGCCTGTACCAGCAACGCCACTATCACCGCCCATCGCAACAGCCGTGCCTGTCGCTTCGGCGGTGCAAGTGCCAGCGCCGGTGACTGGGCGTCAGCTTGCTATGGTTACCTTGAAACAGAGAGCTCCCTGACGTGTGAAAGAAAACGAACGTATTGTTCATGACATGCGGAGTGGGCTGAGCTAAGAACGACTCGAGCGGGTCAAACAGGCTAATGCTGTGTGTGGCACGGGACAAGTCACCTTGAGGCCACAGTGCAGACTCCTGACACCATCGCCCTGACAGCTCTGCAACAACAAGTGGCTCACCTTCAGGCCGGAGAATTCTGGTAGCAAGGAATGTCAGCAATGCCACCACACCTGGGAACCAAAGCACGCCTCTTAGTACAAAGCGTCCCAGCGCGGTTAGTTTGTGCTGCCAGCTGCATTTCCTATATTGGGTGCTTCCATTTTCTTTTCCATTATCCCTATACAGCCCTATATTACCCTATATTATCCCAATATTACCCCAGTCTGGGTTTCAGTCAAGGAACTTAATTTAAGTTGCTATCTTATCTGTTCCTTGATAACAGCAGCCTGGCAATAAGGTGCATTTCCTTGTGTCAAGAGTTGCCTTGATTGAGGCATCTCCGAGCTAGGATTCCCAAGGGGTAATGGAAAAGAAAGTGGAAGCTACTACAGTATAATGGGGGATGAATTGGGGTATATAGGGATGATGTAGGAATAACGGAAGGGAAAATTGAGACTACTTGAATATTATGGGGCTTTATGGGGGTTATAGAGCGGATAATGGAAAAGAAAATGGAAACAACTATGCGCACCCCATGATGGGGGACCTTAAGGGACCTTTGGGACTTTAGGAGGCTTGACAGAGTGAAGGGCTCCTTGTTCCCTGGCAGGCACGTGTCCAAGAGCTCCTACGTGCCAGCCTTAACGGCGACTCTTGCAATGAGGGTTGTCATTATGCACATGCCCTAAGCCCTAAGCCCTAAACCCTAAAATAGTAGTTTCCATTTTCTTTTCCATTACCCCTCTTATATAACCCCTACATAGTTGGCTGCAAGGAATTAGCCAGTTTTTATCCGTCATGGGAACTCTAGCGCTGTAGTGCCTTCGCACCGAAGGATGGCTTAACAGCCCGAAGCAGTCGGGTCCTTGTATATAGTACTATAACGGAAAAGAAAATGGAAAAAACTTACAATATAACAGGGTATATATAAAGGGTATATATATATATATAGAGTACTAACGGAAAAGAAAGTGTATAATACAATAGGGTAGAGTATTGCGAAGGTTGCCCACAACTACCTGCTGGTTGATCGCAACAGATGTCTTGAATGCAGCGATAGAAAGGTTGGCCACACGTGCAAAGCTTGGAAGGACTTCAGAAATTTGGCAGAAAGCGGGCAGCAGCTGAATTCTTCATGAAAAGGTGAGAACCTGGACATACAGCGGCGCAGTCCATCCCCGCCTCCCGCCTCAGGTCGGTATTTTACGCAGATATCCAGAGAAGACAGATTTTGCGGAAGGAAGATATGAGGGCTAAATCAGGAGAGTCGTAACTCCAATCTGGCGCAAATGGACGTAGGCTCGCTGGCCCTAGCAAGTACAGAAGCCGTTGATGCCTCACCTTGACATGCACTAGTCATTAGTCTCCAGAGGCTTTGGGTTTTTTTGTTTGGGAGAGCGCTCTGGGACACAACCCGAAGATCCCAGCAGGATTTTGCGAAGTGGCGCATTCAGCCAATCATGCGATGGCGAAGAGATTTGGAACGGTGTAAGGCTACCATCTCTGGGAGGGTTTTGTTTTCAAAGCTTTTCTCATGAACATTCTTGGGGTTCTTATCATGCGACTCGTAGATATTCGTAGATCCTACATACAACCTTGTTTGGGGGCTAGCGGGTCAGCTCTGCATGCAGGCGATGCTGCGGCCCTTGCTGCTGCCAGGCGCCAGAACGAGGAGCTCCAGGCCGCAAATAGAGTTTCTGAAGATGTGGGGATCCTACTTTGGGTATATAAGTTCAGAGTCCTGCTGTTGGGATCTTTTGGGAACTCCTATTTGGGTGTAACAGGCATGTTTGTCATGCTCTAAAGTATGTTGTTGATGATGCCCTCTGCGGGCTCCGTTGTTGCAAAGTCTCATTCTGCCAGCCCAATTGACTGGAGTTTCAGTGCTGCCACATGTGTTGAGCAATCGGCATCATCGCGAGATCTGTCACCAGGCACGCTTGCAGGACGTGCTCCGCACTCACCTCAACAGTCCCGGCAGAAGCATGCACGGTGGCTCATTCGTTGCCTGCATCTTTAATGACCTGCAGCTGCCACACCGCGGCAGCACGACCCGTCTTGTTCGTCAGGATCATGTGGCCCTCATGCATTTGACTCGACTGGACTGAGCTGAACGGCTGAAGGCGAAAATCTTGAGCTGCAGCGGCGCCAGACCTCGACTACGGGCTTGAACCTTGGAGCTGCCACCTCTTGCTGGTTCAAAAGATTTAGGTTCCCCAAGGAGGTTTACACTTAGACAATGCCATGTTGGAAGGATCGCCACGTCTCCTAAATGTAACATGCGTTCTTGCTGATATCAGTGACGGCAGAGCCTTTGCAGGTTTTTAGAAGACATTGCGCGGCTTCGGCACGAGGTTTTCTCAACTCATATACCGCGAAAATCAAGGACCGCAAAACCATGTGATCCTGAGGTGAGGCAAGCGCCTTGGCTACCGCAAGGCGCCAGAACGAGGAGCTTCAGGCAGGAGCTTTCCGTAGGTCTTTTGGCCAACAGCTGACTTTGGGAATTTGAGACACTCTCACAGTGCACATAAAGTTGGCGTAAAATCAAGTTGAGAAGAGCCGCACTGCTGCTCCACGCTGAAGCCAAGGGACATCCCTGCCCTAGCCCCATGGACTACTGACCTGCCAGGCGCGCGTGGAGGAGCTGCGCCGCGCCAACCTCAGAAGTTCTCAGTTCAGAAGCACATTGCAAGGGGCAGACATTTCGCAAACTGACATCAGGTGAGAACCAAGAACTCCAGCGGCGCAGCCAATTCCCAGAAGCCTCCAGTCTTGGCCCAAGTTGGGACAACCTTTGCTGGTGTTCAAGTGATGAACTTGTGCGTGATGAACTTTGCTTGATAAGGTGATGGAGCGGCTTTGGCTGCGGCAAGAAGGCAGAACGACGAGCTGCAGGCACTCTTGTTTCGACAACTCATCAGTCTGATGCCTTTGTCAGCTTTATCAGGTGCGGATGCAAGAGCTCTTACGCGCCGCGCTGAGCCATACTGCACTGGACTTGAGCCTTCAAAACACGAGGTTCTGCCCAGCTGGCAGTAGACAAATGCCAGGTGAAAATCTAGAGCTCCAGCGGCGCGGTACTCCGCCACCTCCCGTGGGTCCGAAGCCCAATCTCCTAACAAAAGCTACTTCCAACCTGTAGTTTTAGCCCTTCGTGAGGTGATGATCAGGAATTGGCGGCAGCCAGAAGTGAGAACGAAGAGCTGCAGGCCTGCAGCTGTCAGACCTGTTAGTGAATCTTGGGCGGGGGAATTCGATGCACCGGAAGCGTCATTGGTAGGCACGCGTGCAAGAGCTTCAGCGTGCCAACCTCAGAGGGAATGCCAGATGTACAGTAAGTAATGTACGGCAGCAGCACCTAGGTGAAAATGCCGAGCTCCACCGCCGCAGCCAAGCCCCACCTCCGCCTGTCCCAGGCCATGCCGACATTTGTCGACGGGTCTGCTTTTAAGGATTCGACTTAGCAATCTTGGAGTAAAGTGTTGATCTTGCTCTGAATGCGTCTCATTTTCTCACATATTCTCAACAACTCTCCTTGAAACCTTATAATGCAGATATGCTCATGGTGAGATTCCGCCAGAAATCAGTCTTGCCAGATGATTTTGGGGCTTTCGACCGCGTCCTGGGTGCTGCAAAACGGCAGAACGAGGAGCTGGAGGCAGCACCTAAGAGTCATGCAGGATTGCCTGGAGAGTTAAGGTTGCAGGTCCTCCTGATTGCCAGGTCACTGGTGTGGTTTTGGTACATACTGCAGCACTGCAAAGTCCTTGTCGAGTGATTCGCAAATACTGTATGCCCCCAAAAGTGTCCCAACCTTGTAACAAGACATGTCTTGATGATTTGTTGAACGACTGCTACCTGCCACCACACCAGTTAAAGCCCATCTGCGTTTAGAAAACGCCGGAAGATGGACTCTGGTTTGCAATCGAGATCGTGGGTCTGCTCTGGGGTCTGGGCTCAAATATGCTGCAGTACATCATCTAGAGGATTGCAGTTGGTACTCGTATCACTGTGGCGTACAAGGGTAAATCAGCAGAAACAATTTGACCCTCCCCCTCAACAACTGCAAGCCCTTTGACCTAATGCGGAAGTAACCCGGAACACCCTTTACGGGGGGAACCCGCAGACGCACTTTTCAGTTTATCCGGCAATTCATTCTTGCGGAGGGCCCGTGTTCACTTCTTGACAGGGTTCGGATAGAAAAGATCGATAACGGGCTCTCAAAGTACCTCTTCCTTTCAACCAGCGGAATGCAGAATGATAACAAATAATGAGTGTATGTTTTCGGGCAGGTGCGGGTGCAGGAGCTCCTCCGCTCCGGCCTTGGCCGTGTTCAAGCCAGGAATCTTTCTTCTGCATCATCAAAGTTCATGATAGGGTAGTAGGGTGCTTGAGACAGGTAGAGCTTGTGGTAGTGACTGGTAGTGGAGATGAGGGGAGATGAGGATTGTTGCCGGCGGTGTTGTCATTTGGTGTTGGTTTCACTGTCCTGCCAAGGCGAGAACCTGCAGCTGCAACGTCGTAGCCCGTCTCCACCCCCTGACGAGAGAGGCTGTCAAAGGGGAAAAAACGGAAGCATTAAGAAAGCACTCACACAGCTGGGATTTTGCGATGAAACAACATTTATTGCCCGTGGTGTTTTCGCTGCAGGTGAGGCAGCCATGCAGGCGATGAGGCGTCAGAATGAGGAGCTCCAGGCGTGCCGAGACAGTTTTGGTGGGAGCTGTGAGGCGTGTTTGTCTGTGTTTGCCTAGCATGTGGAGAGGGTGAACTTGTATGAAAGGCGCGGGTTCAAGGAGTCCTTCGTCCCGGCCCCAAGCGGTTGCTGGGGGTTGGATAGCTGCAGATGAAGTAGTGAGGTGAGAATCTGGAACTTCAGCGGCGCAGTCCCTCTCCTCCCGGCGCACCCGTCGCCCCAGCAGGCTGCTCATGGCTCCCTGCAAATCCCTCAATTCGTCCAGTACTGGACAACAAGGATGTATACCTACCATGTGGAAATTTCTGAGATGCAGTCAGGGGTCTCAGCATTCTCTGGCTATGCTCCGCAGGTGACGATGCTCTGGCCGCATCCAGGCGGCAAAACGAAGAGCTCCAGGCAGCTGTGCATAAAGCTGTCAGGAGGCTGTCAACAATTGAAACTGGTGGGAATCTATAACCTCTGCCATTTGCCTGCAATGTGCTGCCACCTAGCATCTGCTACTGTAGGAATACAGTATTACAAGGTAAAGTGTCATGTTGTGTCGTGCTTTGCATGCAAGCTACAAGTGCTGCTGCAATCCTCCTTTTCGCTCCAGACCGCTTGGAAGCGCTTTTTGACGCAATGTCACAAGTCGACTCCATGTCATGCTCAAGATCTAGCAATGCCACGCCATCTGCTACGAACCTCACATGGCAGATCAGAGCGGCATGCTGAGGTTTCCCGGCAAGACAAGCTGCCAAATGCAGCAGCAAGAGGATACCTGCCAGTATCCCAAGACAGTAGACTGCTTCTCACAAGCCAGCAGCAAGGCACAGCAACCTGACCTGCTTGAAGCCCCTTCCCGACTGATTAAGCAGCAACCACAACCCTTCTCCCTCTGCTTGCTGGCTTATTGCGAGTGCTGCGATGTCGGTTCGCTTGGCCATTGGCGCTTCTGTTGCCAGCTTGGCCGTTTTGTTCCTCATAGCCGCTCGCCTGCAGTGTGCAACCACGAAGTTTGCAGAACATCGGCAGAATATTCCTTAAAAGCATTGTCCCTCAAGGTTGCCTGGTACTTCCGAAAGCCCCTCTTCGCCTGCCTCGGGGACATCTTTGGCTGCGTGCCCAAGAAGACGCACGCTGTGCAAAGTGCAAAGGATCTGGAGCAAGGCCTCAAGCCGGTGCTGAGCTGCTTGGGATGTCTGAAGTGTAGAATCTCGCGGGCTCCGTGTCGTCTCATCATGCTCGAGTCATCACCTTTTTCGTGCCGTCTCGGTGCGTCCAATTTCAAGCTTGAAGTGCCTCCCCTCGTAGTGCAGGTGCGATCAATGTGAAGCCCACGGCCCAGGGCACCGTGATAGGGGTGCGCGGTCCAGCTCCCAGAATCTCAGAACTGATATTAATATCTCATGGAGTCGATGTTTCTTCAGCAGAATTTGCTTGTAGTTGCCTTCGCAAGGTGAGGTCAACACTAATGTTCCTGGCACTCAAGCTGCTGCTGCACCTATGCACCTTGACTGGTTTCTTGAAACCTTCGTATGTCCTGATAAGGTAAAGGTATGTTGTTTGGGTGCTTTCAGGATTGTGGTGGCCACAGACGATGCCAGCCGCGGCGAGCTGATGTCTTACCAGGACCTCCAAGATGCATGCCAGGCTCCCGGGGCTTCGAGAGGAGAAGCCTTTCCGAACTGACGTGTGTAACAGTGTGGCATTAGTGGTTAGTGCTTACGCCAATGATATGAAAACCTTGAGGTCTCAACTGGAATGCGGGAAACATCCTGGGCAAGGCTAGCGCTGTTGGTGAGCTCTGCTCGCAGAGGAGTTTTTGTTTCCGTTCAAGGTCTGGTCTCGGAGTGGCTTTGCTTTGCCAAATACATAGCCTTGCGTGACATGAAGAGAACGGACAGCAACCACCGATCCTATGTGACATGGTGAAGCTCTTGGACGGGCCCACGGTAGCCTCCGGCATGAACCAATGCAGGGGGCGGCCGCCACAGTCTACCGTGGATCGCTGCCCAGGCGAGCTGAAGGGTGCGGAGCCACCTGCATGTTCAACTCCTGCAGCCAAATTGGTTGCGTGATGTTATCGGCTATGATCCCAGCCAATCTTCTTATGGGTTTTGCTTCTACTCGTTCAACAACAACAAGGAATCAGTCAACTCCTACCTGTCTGCAGTTTTTAGAGGGTCCCGCAAGGTGATTCTCGGACTTAGTATAGGACCGGGTTGTCACAGACCGCCGGAAGAATCCCATTCCACCAGACTAGGCTCTTCTCATTGAAATGGTGTTGGTATTGACTGCAAGATATAAAGTTTGTGCTACAAGCTTTGGAGAAAAAGTTTGAACAAGAACACGCGATTGCAATCGCAAAATTGAACAATGCCGAGCATCCTGAGCCAGGTTTGGGAGCGTGGCGGTGAAGCGCTTTCATAGCGATCCTGCAGGCGGGGGTGGCCAAGTTCTGCTCGGGGCAGATTAGACAGGAGTCATGCAGTAGCAATGCAGTGTGTCTTGTTAAAGCAGGATTTCTATGGAGATCTGCCACGCTCGTACGTCAAAAGTGCCCCCTGCCCCAAAGTACCGGCAAAATAATCAGCAGCATCCAACCTGAACATGGGCCAGGGTGGATGTTCTGACTGCCAAAGAAGGTGACTACTGCGTGTAGACGGTGATGCTAGACATGGTCAACATCGATCAGTCCCATCCAGCGATTGGATGATAGAGCAGATCGAGTAGATCGCGCTTCAATCCGAAATTCCGAAGTGGGCCTCGTGGCTCGCAGGTCGCAAGAAAGCTCGCTGCCATAATTTCCTGCTCAGTTTTTGAGGATTGCCAGGTTCTTCAATGCTGGAGCACTCTATAAAGAGGCCTTTGCAACTTGACAAAGATGGATGTAAAGCTGAAGCCAGGCGGCCTGCCTTACAACTTTGATCGCGAGCTGGCAGCTCTGCTGCACTGGCTTGGGCATGGTATACAGTGGCCTGCAATCCATGTGAATACTTTTTAAATTTGACTCGTGTGACCAATGACAAGAAGTGGCACCAACAGGGGATATCATACATAAAACTTGCACTGTGGGCACCGCTGCTCGGTAAATGGAGCTGGGAACGTCAGGAAGCGCTCTGTCAATGCCGCCACCCGCACATCCTTGAGATCCTCGGGAGATCGCAGACAGGACCTTGCAAGACTTTGAAGGATGAGGCTAATAATGATAATAACAACAATAAAAATAATAACAATAATAATGGCAATAACAATAATAAAAACAATAATAATGATACATAGATACTTTGCTTCTGAGAGTGCCTATGAAGCCTGCAGGACCGGAGCAGCTCATCGTCATGTGACGCGGTAGCAAACATGTGCTTTTGTTGGAGCTCAGGCCTAGACTTGGCAACTTGAACACTTACACTGCCCCTCCAAGGGCTTCCGAAACAATATCTGAGAGCCCGAACTCCATATTCAAGTCAAGACCTTAGCAGGCCCCTCATGGAGGGTGGCACCTTCACTGTGGCCATGCCCTCCATGCTCTGGGCACCCAGAGCGACCTGCTTCGGCCAGCGCTGCTCCCAGCATCCAGGGCCCGGTTTCAGGGCTGCCGTTCATGTGTCGCGATACTCTAGTCCGTAGCATGATAGAGTAAGATGAAATGATCCTTTCCGCTGTTGTGGCCAGGCACTAGTCATGTCATCGAATAGTCTCAGCTGAATGTTGCTAGGCATATTCGTTGGTAATTATGTCCTAGTCCAAGCACAAGTCATTTCCAGCTTACACACGGCCTGTCCCAAAGAGGCTTCAGCTTCCCTTGGCCGAGACCCTCCTCTGTCACATCCGCTATGCGAACCAAGTCTATAGGCGACAACAGAAAGATCTAAGATCTGATTCTCCCTGTCAATTCATGGATGTAATTGGGCAGAAAGGGTAGGGGAAAGTCCGTTAAAACATTCATGGAGAAGACAAGCAGGGCTCGGCTCGAGACGTCCTCACGGGTTTTCGTGGGAAGATGTCTAAAACTGATTTGTGTCCGGCTTCAATGAATGGTACCGGTTGTCAGGATAGTCCGAGCAGTCTCCTTCCTGCATGGGAAGAAGATGGTCCACCGTGACATCAAAAGCCATGAGCTTACGCTGCCAGATGCAGGCTAGGCTGCATGCATTGATTTGGTGGAAGTCACAAGCTTTGCCTCCAACTGCCCAGATGGTGTTTTTGACTGATGAAGACCCATGGCTATTGAGTTGATGCCGAGTGACAGAATTGCTTTGACCAGTGCTTTCTGAGGCAGCAACATCCTCTTGGATGGAGCGCTGCGCCATGCCCGCCTTGCAGACTTCGGTCTTGCGAAAGACCAGGCGGCAAATGGGCTCTGGGTGAGACAATCTGCTAATGCGGAGACAGTTCGAAGGGAAGAATAGTTTGATGATACGTTTGTAGCACGAGCAGTGTTGCGAGTTGTTTTCTCCTGTGCCTGGCTTGTACGAAGTCCCTTGTATGGGGCTCTCCCTGTGCCTGTCTTGAACTTCATGCCAAACCGGGAGGCTCGTTGTGAAGAGGCAAGGAATGTTAGGGGGTGCAGTGACTTGTGCCGTCAGGTGAAGGGCTCCAGGACGCACGGCACTACAGGCATTGTGGCCCTTTGGATGCAGCAACTGCTGAAAAGAATATCCGAGGGATTGTAGTAAGGGTGTGACTGGAACTGGCGCTACAAGCAAGCTAAGGCAGAACCTGAATGTGGCAAGCAAAGGGCAACTCTACGTGTGGGGAATCGGGGGCCCGGGGATCATCGTGGTCGGTCTTGGAATGCGGGAAGCTAACGGGAAACTGTGGGGAGCATTGTGGGGAGCCTCGATGGGAGCATCGTGGCGGATCCTGAGATGCAGCAAACTAGGAGCAAACTCCACGTGAGACTCGTTCTGGAGCATCGCGAGAGCGAAATCCCCACATAAGGCACATCCGTGAGCATTGTGGGAAAATACAGAGGGTCCTTCATAAGGTCGGCTCTCCAGGCTACATGGCGCCTGAGCTGATGATGCGCCCTGCAAACGAATCTTGGGTGACTTTGAGTTACGGGCACGGGGAGGAAGCCTGTGCAGGCAAGGCAGCTAGCTGGCTACTTGTAGCAGAGATCCCCAAACACTAGCGTCAATAGTGGTCCAAGTACAAGCCAAGTTGATCAAGCTCGCATGACAACCCTCATTGCCCAGCCTTGTAGCCTTACATGGAGCACCTGTGCATGCCGTCCCTCAGCGGCACCCTTCGAAGCTGAGGACAAGACTGATGCATTTGCTCTTGGAGTTGTGGCGTCGGAAGCCTACAAGTGCCCAAACTTGAGCTCGTCACGGTAGCTTTCTGGCTTCAGAACGTGATTGGTCAAGTGGCAGTCGGCCGCGGCGCAGTACCTGAAAATGACTCCGCAAGTTAAGTGCAGGGAAGCTGCATTATGCTGCACGAAGGAATTCCGACTCAATGCGAGATGCATAATGTGATAATGTGCGTTGCTGAGGCTGGAGGTCCTCACGACACTACCTGCTTGGAACGAGGAGCTCAACAAACGCGGGGCTACCGGATGATGTATGAATTCCCATTTTGCGAGGACAGAGAGACCGTCGTCGCTGGCCTAGCTTCAGAGTACCAAGACGAAAACTGGGCCTCACTTTTCCTCCTGCCAAGGCTTTGAATGACCATGCGGTGTCTGACAACAAGTTCCAGGCCTCCTTGATAGTGGCTTGTGTATTTGATGGGGTGACCCGCCGCAACGGCGGGGTCATTTCATGAAAGGGGGTACACTGTGTGAAATTGCAGGTGCGGCCTGAGCATCACACATTTCTCCCTTCCAAACCCACATCATCAGTGTGGATGCCATCTCACTTCAAACAACCAAGGAGTCTCTGGTGGATTCGAAGGCAGCCTGGCCCTCTGCCGAGGCACGCACCATAAATTAGATTCTCCATTATCCGTAAATAGCCCGAATATACTATATGGCCGTTTCCATTTTCTTTTCCATTATCTCTATGTAACCCCAATATTCTACTTAGTAGCTTGGCCACACAATCGTTGTTGACAGGTTGAGGCTCTCGGTGGCCACGCCGTCTGGAACACAGACATAGCAGCGCTGGCTGGGAACGGGGGGCTTGAAAGTATTCATCAGCAATCGATTCAGGGACGTTTCTGGTAGCTTTTGCAAATACTTCACTGGGAAGATCTGGGAAGCAAGCTCAGTCCGAGCATGCTCAGACCTTACTTGAATGTGATTCATCGCGCTGTGGACCTTCCACTGCTAGAGGTCAAGCTCACATACTTCGACCCCAACCAGCGTCAGAAAGTCTTTGACATGGAGCAGTCGAACTCGTTTCAGGCAGGGTACTGCAAAGCGCTTGGGTTCTGTGAGGAGATCACATGTGTTCTGCTAAGCAAGTATAGCATGACCGTTTACAGACGAGCCATCAAACCGAACACCTGCTTGTGCTGAAAAGATTTTCTTGCATTCTTGTATTCGGGTGTGCACCGCACACATTTCGAATTTGCGCCAGCCTCTAACGTCAGAGGCTCATCACGTGAACCGCACCTGCTAAAATTCTAGTGAGATTGATGATTTTTCTGGAGTACTGCTTGCAAACTCAGTGTGCCCGGCTGGCCAGGAACATGTGCAAAGGGCCGAACAGGCTCTACGGTAGCCAGGACTGGTGCAGCTCTCTACAGCTGGTCTGGCCATTCTGGCCAGACATGTTGCAGTCAGCGTCCGTGTTGCAACCAGTAAAGTAAAGCCAACCAACATTCATCGCTTGTAGCGAAGATGGAACTGACAACTGCCAGGAATATCCGGGAATGCTGCATCCCAGCACTTCGATTCGATTTTCACGGGGTCACGCCGCACGAGCGTGTGTCCTGAAAGCCCGGAGATGCCACATTCATAGCACATCATAGCACGCCATGTTTCGCAACATCGGCCATCTCTGGGAATGCATTAATCATTTGTTAGTGAGCGCAGCCAGTTTTAATGTCCACAGTCAGCGTGGCAGCATGTGCACGCAGAATACCCGCAGCTGTGTGAGCCAGCGGTTCCCAGCTTCACACACTGTCTTGTGCTGGCTACGCCTTGGGGATCCTGATTCTTTGATGCAAGGTCATATCATGTACCGTGTAGCACAGTGACAGCTTTGCTTGCAACAACTCATGGTTGGTAGGCGGCTTTTGTTTGGTCTCGGTTTGTCTGTTAGATAGTCACGACGCAGGTACAAGCACACCACCCGGGTCCCATTGGCCAGTTTCCTGTAGAAGGCACGACGCAAGGAGGAGTGCTCCTCCAGCAGTACGGATACTTGGGCCGCGCGCCCACGGCGTCTCTCATCTTCATGCGCCTGCACCTACGTTGATCATACTTCTGCGGGTAGAAGAGTCCTCCTCCATCACCAGATTTCTCTCAAAGGTGCTGGAGCACTTGCGAGTATCTGTCCCAGACCCCAAGAAGTTCCCGCTGCAGACCCTGTCGGCCTATGTCGGCCTCGTGCCAGCTGTGCATGAGCTCGCTGGAGAGAGACAGGGATCCGCTCCACGTCCCAGTCTTTCTCGTAGAAAGATGGGCGAGCACTTCATTCATCAGGCTTTGTTGCATACCCGAACTGAAGGATGATGGGACATGGAGCTCCAGCATGCTTCGGGAACTCAAGGTGAGCTTGAGAAATCTTGCAACAGCTCCATGAAATGGACTGTGCAAGATGTTTTTGCTGTGCTTCGGCAACATGGCCGTCCGTATCAGACATCTGACGACCCGGCCTTGCCGCATGTTGGCCCCTGGCAAGGTCGTGTGGCTGTTACGCAACCCGAGATGCTTGTTGTATCCTGTTGTCATTCGATTCATGTCACAAGGTTTGGTCTTGGCAGTTGAGGAGCGGTCAAGGTACCTGACCACAGCAGCGTACAGCGTACATGACTTGTGACAGTGGTTGATCACAAGAGTTTCCATGAGGGGCAGCTGAGGGTGTACAGAAAAACCATATGGTCGAGCCCCATTCAAACCAAAGGGCCGTCCGCTCACGAGTGCTGGTCTTGTTTGGACGAGAGCCAAGCCTGGCCACCCCAATATACTATAAAGCAGTTTCCATTTTCTTTTCCTTTATCCCTACGTAACCCCGACTTGCACACTTGCGGCGCACAA